TGCTAGAATAATCTCACCTTCCTCCAACAAATCAGAAAGCACCGCAAATTTGTTACCTCCTTTCAGGGAAGATGTCTTATCCATAGCACCATTCATCTCCTCCTCCAAGATAGTTTCAACTTGTTTAAAACCTATAATGTCAATAGTATTATCCTCCATGGAAGCATTTTCAACTCGGACAAGTTCAGGATTACCGCCAACTAAAACTCCCTTATTCTTCTCACCAACAGGCTTTGCAACATATTCCTTCAAATCAGATTTTCTTCTTTGGATGTCGAAGTTCCTTTGGTTCAAATTCTTCTTCCTCCCATAATTAACATGTATCCAAGGACCATAAGTAGATTCAACCTCCTTAGAAGTTTCTCTCACCTTCCCCTCAGAGCTTATGAAAGAAAAATTACCTTCATTGATTGCCATCTTCTCACCTATCTCAATACTTTTCGAACAACCCTGATTGGTTCCAAAATCTACCTCTAAACATCTACTTTTAGAATGTCCAATCATGTAACATTTAAAGTAGAGATTAGGAACTCTCTCATATTCAATTCTTTGATAGAACCTTCTTGAACTCCCTTACACCCAGACTCCCAGTGGCAGCTTTTTTTCTAATTCAATATGGACATAGATCCTTGCAAACTCCCTCCTCCCCCATTGGAACATATAGTCGTCTTTTAAATAAGGCTTTCCAACCTTAGATGCAATCCTATAGATATTAATATCATCCCAGCATTGCAAAGGAAAACTATGCATTCTAATCCATATTAGAGCAGTTAAACCCTTTAATGAATTTGGGGAGAACAAAGGTGACCACTTATCCACACCAATTATCTGCCCCTTAACATACCATGTTCCATTTGAAAGAACTAGGTCCACTTATTCCTCATCATCAAAAGCACAAACCATCCATCCCTTGCCAAGCCAAGTAAGGTCAAATTTACCCAATTGTGACAATTGTCTTTTAAGTTCTGAATTAATAACATAAGAAGGCATGTTGTCACCAAATACTTTGACAACTAGTGCATTTTGAAGTTTTTTTGTGTTCTCCAATTCATTTTTCTCATACAGCTTGATAGCTTCACCATCTTCGGTAAGGCAACTTCCAATTTCTAAATCAACAACTCTTCAATTGGATTTCTTATTCCAGACATTGACCAAAAAATTACCTATCGGTTCTTTATCCTTGGAAACATCTACTTCATCTTCTAGTTTTTTGCATGAATCACATTCACCAGAAACACATTAATGAACCACCTCCAAATCTTCAATTAAATTTGTATTATTTACTTCAGTAGATACATTAAAAATGTTAACTTCCAAAGTTTCAACCCTAACATCTCCTCCCCTCGGTCCTTCCAATGTCGAAGGTCCCTGAAAAACCTCTTCAGAAGTCCTATTCAAACCATTTCCCACAACTACATCTTTTTGATTAGACAGCAAAGAAGGTCCAAAACAAAAAGTCGACACCTCAGGATTCTTTGGTAGTTTGAATTCACCTCCAAACATCACATTCTTAACTTTCCTAATATTTGTAATAGCCTTCTTTATATTTAACAACCCTCCTTCATTGATCGATAAAGGTTTACCTTTGTTGGTATTCAATCGAACACCATTTGTGGCAGAATCTCCAACCAAAGAAATTCCACCGAACATTGGCGGAGAAGATTTGATAAACCCTTGTGGATGAATTGTGGAGCCTCCAGATGTTAATCTATGATCAACCTTCGGAGCTAAGTCAGTCGATGATCGGCGATCAGTCGCCATCAAGGAAAAATGTTAGCTAACAATGGTCAACCAATTTTGACCATTGGTTTGATCATAATTGATCATATGAGACAATTGACCCATTAAAGAATGCATATACTTTCCAAAGTGGATTAGCAAAACAAAGTGACTGAAATGGATAAAACCATTGTGTGGAAATATAGAATAGGGTATTAGAAAAGTAAACTTAACTTTGTTCAACCCAATTAACTTATTGAATCGATCACTTTAGCCATATGGGTCAGCATGTCCCATTTAGACTCAATGATATTAATGCCATTTAAAATCTAAAATGTCAATTAAAGGGAAATTGATCAAGTAACTTCCTAACATTTCAATTAAACCCTAGCTAAGTATTGATTAAATCATAATAGAATTGGTTAAAGTATAGTGCACTTAGCCAATGGGATTCTCCCATAGTAAACTACAAGCACTATACTAATTTTTTTCTCGCTCCTTGATATAATCTGTTGAAAAAAGGATCAAATGCTTTTGGAAAGCATTTTTTTTATTTTTCATCCTCACATAATATGGTTCTTTTTTGAAGCATGTCCAAACTAGAGGATCCCTCATTTTTTTCCTAGAATTTCGATTCGGCTTTTCAATTCATTTTTCACAAATATGGTTCTAATTTAATGATGAAGGCTCATGCAAGTATAATTCTCAAACTCTAGGTAGTCTTGAGGAGATTTGGTCAATGCTTGAGTTTGGGTCACTATAGCCTCAATTATTTTAAATTTTTTGAAGATTATTTGGTGTATCTAATAATTTAAAAATGCTAATTTAAACTAATTTTGAATAACTTTCACTATTTAAGCGGAACAAAAAATTCTAATAAAATTTAGGGATAATACTTAAGATAAGATTTTCCCTTTACCTTTCCAATGGTGGATTTAATCATCTGCATAGCATCTGAATTTTCCAAGTGGATTTTTTTCTATATGCAAAATTACTATTTTTTTTACAGTTGAACATTCCCATAGCCCCAACAAGCTTCCCATTGGCTTATCTTAATAATTTAATCATACCTTTGAGCCATACTTTATCTAAGACTTGATTTTTAAACACCCAATGAATTCGGCCATTGAAAGAGCTTGTCATGGGTTATTGATATAATTAGATAAATACTTACAATAGGACTTTTTTACTTTTACAACTTGCATTGTTAATTAGCTGTTTGCCTTTCTGTTTTTCTGTATTTATTTTATTTTATTTTATTTTTAAAATAGAATAAAATATGTCTAATATATTAAAATAAATTATTATTATTTTTAATTTCAAATAATTTGATTTATCCAGCAATGGCAGTGGTCTTCAGCATGTCAATGGCATTTACTAGCCATGTGATAATAGCCATTTTAGTCAATGATGCTAGAGGCTAAAGAAATAATTTTCTTAGAAAAACAAAATACAACAACATAAAGCTTTTATCTACTATATAGGGTCAGCTACATGAATCCAAATTCTCATTAAGATAAAGTCATTTCTAATATTTTTCTAGTCAAGTCATTAATTTCTGGTCCATCTCTATCTATTTTTTTAACATAGGCTAGATCTAATACATCTACTCTCCTAACAAAATCATCAGAAGGCCGACGTTTTATGTGACATGAACCCTTTTAAAAAACCAAATAGATAAATGAAAATAAAAAATGAATCCTATGACCCCTAAGCTTTTTCCTCCCATGTATTTCAAATATTGTGCCATTGATGTTTCATAGCTGCAAACATACGGCATCACATGCTGATTGTTGTTGCTGGACTTCTTCGTTTTCGTTAAGAATGATATCCCTTACATGGTTAAATTTTCCCAAAAAAAATGTAGAAAAAACAAAATCCCTTGCATGGGAATTTGCCTTACCCGGCGTTGAATTTAAACGTTGCAAGTAGGGCATCATATGAACAAAATTACGTAAGCAATGAGAAGAGAAAGAACATTCAATATAACTCCTTTGATCCATACTTAATTTGATCTATGACTTGATTTTTAAGCTCCCCAATCTATTCGGCCATTGAAATAACCATCATTTTGATATGATTAGATAAATTCAATAGACTTTTTAATAGGACTTTTTTACTTTTACAACTTGCATTGTTAATTAGCTGTTTGCCTTTCTGTTTTTCTGTATTTATTTTATTTTATTTTATTTTTAACATAGAATAAAATATGTCTAATATATTAAAATAAGTTATATTTATTTTTTCTTTATTTTAAATAATTTGATTTATATGAAGATGGTGGTGGTCATGGACAAATCAATCAATGCCAATGAGCACCCAGCAACCATGGTGGTCAAAGACCCTGATGGTCACTAGCCATGATAATTGTTATTATAAATATAAAAGCATCCCAAAATTATTTTGAATATTTTAAAAAATTATTTTATTTTAAAAAATATATTAAAAGCACAGTAAATAAATAAATTTTTAAAAAATAACAAATGAAATAAAAAATGATTCCAAATTACCCCTATGCATTTTCCTCCTAAGTATTTCAAATATTTTGCCATTGATGTTTCAGCGCTACGAACAGACGGCGTCACTGCCACACTATTAGCAACCTAACACGTGGAATCAATTCATTGGACCTACTATTAGTCGCAAAATCCGAACAATGGCGTACAGCAATATCTCAAGAATTCCAAGCTCTCCAGGCTCAAGGAACTTGGGAATTGGTACCACCGCATCCCACACAAAATATTCTAGGATCCAAATGAACTTTTCGTATCAAGTATAACTCTGATGGATCCTTAAATCGGTACAAAGCACGCCTGATGGCCAAAGGGTACGACCAAGAACATGGTCTCGATTACACAGAGACATTCAGCCCTGTCGCCAAAATCAGCACAATCCGCATTCTCATACTCATTGCCTTATACAACAAATGGGAAATTCATCAACTCGACATATCCAACGTGTTTCTAAACGGCACCCTCTCGGACGCAGTTTTCATGCAACAACCACCGGGTTTTCAAGACTCCAATCATCCAAACTACGTTTGCAAGCTGAAGAAAGCACTGTACGGCCTCAAACAATCACCTAGAGAATGGCATGCCACGCTATCCACTCATCTACTCAAGCTCGGCTTTCAAATCAGCGCCTAAGATCCGTCTCTGCTCACATACAACTCCAACGGCATATGTCTATACATCCTTATCTACGTCGACGACATCCTCCTCACAGGTAATTCTAGCACCGAGATCAATAAACTCCTTTCTAATCTACACTCTACATTTCAGATGAGGAATCTCGGCTCACTGAACCAGTTCTTGGGGATCCAAGCTTCCACGACAGCCTCTGGTATACTATTACATCAACAAACATATGCTCGGTCAATCCTTGAACGTGCCAGAATGAGCCAATCAAAACCAATTTCCACACCGGTCGCCTACAAGACCACAATGACGGCAACATCACATGAACCTTTCTCCAATCCGCAGCTATATCGCCACCCAATCGGATCTCTACAATACCTCACGCTAACTAGACCGGACATTCAGTTTGTTGTTCATCAACTATGCCAACATATGCAACGTCCACTCAATCATCATTACGACGCCCTCAAACGACTTATTCGCTACATCAATGGAACAACACACATTGGCATCCAGCTACAACCACAAAATCTCACCTTACGCGGGTACGTGGATGCCGACTGGGCCAGCAATAATCTAGACCGGAAATCTATCTCCAGTCACTATAATTTCCTAGGCAACTCACTCATCTCCTAGCAAGTCATGAAACAAAATACCATTGCCCGCTCATCCACCGAGGCTGAGTATCGAGCACTCGCATCCGAGACAGCTGAAATCATATGGCTTCGTCGTCTTCTTGAAGACTTCCACATACCGCAAACATCTCCCACCACCATCTACTGTGACAACACCTTCGCCATAGCACTTTCCAACAACCCAGTTTTTCACGCACGTACCAAACACATCGAAGTCGACTGTCATTTCATCAGAGAAAACATTTGGTCAAACACAATCACAATCCAACATATATGCACGACCGACCAGATAGCAGATCTCTTCATTAAAGCGTTACCAACACACCGGTTCCAACAGTTATCCAGCGAACATACAGCAGCTCCACAACCACAAGTTTGAGGGGGGTTATTAGCCACCTAACATGCGGCATCAATTCATTGGGCCTACTATGGACTGTTAGACTAGCATTTGTACTTTCTTGTTATCTTGTACTTATAAATAGAACTCTGTATTACAAGTTCAACAGTATGAAAGCATTGTTTCCTTCTCCCTATTAAGCGTCTCTGTTATTTGTCCTGTTCTTGGTTATGTAATTCTACACACACTGCTGTTGAATTCAGAGAGGCAATGAGTGCAGGAAGAGATCTCTGCTAGGGTTTCAGCCGCTTTGTGTTCTTTCGCACTGCCCTCGCCTGGGACGGCCTCTCCCTCCCTCGATGGCCTCTTCCACACCTGATTTTTCGCCACTTCCTTCATCCTCTATTCTTTTCCCTTCTTCAATTGGCCTCCCTTCGACTGGCAATGGAGGTCCCTCATACGCAGCCAATGTGTCGGCTTCTTCCTTCAAGCCTGCCACTTTCCCAGTTTCCTTCTACTCTCCTGCTAAAAAGCTCTCCTTCAAAGATGTTGATCTCTCCGAAGGAGTGTCTGTTTAGACATCAGCCCTCATTGGTTACTCCCTTGGACCTCGTCCATATTATGAGCGACTTCTAAAAGCGATGCAGAGGCTTTGGACACTCAAAGGTTCTATGACTCTACTTTTTCTAGCTGATGGTTTTTTCCTGTTAAAGTTCTCAACAGAAGAAGATCTTGATATGGTGCTTGCGGGTGGTCCTTGGTTCCCGTTAGGCAAGCCTTTCATTCTACAAAGATGGTCTCCAAAGTTCAAACCAAAGAGAGATGAGTCTGCTCCTATACCGATTTGGATCAAAATCGTGGATTTTCCCCTTACGCTTTGGACTCCTACCGGTATCTCAAAAATTTTGAGCTATATAGGAATTCTAATTTCTGTTGACTCCCTCACTACTAATCGCACTAGACTTACTTTTGCAAGGGCATGTGTTCTTATTTCTAAAGATTCGGTTTTGCATGATGAAATTCCGATAGAGATTGATGGTCAGGATCTTAATTTAAAAGTGAGATACGACTGGAAACTAGATAAATGCGAAGGGTGCGGCTCATTGATCCATCCTTTTTCCCTTTGTCCCAAAAACCCCAACCCACAACCAGTTCTTCCCCCACAGCCTCCTAAATCTAGAGGGCGTAGTACTTCTAGAACTCTTTCCACTCGTCCAAACAGATCTCCCTCCAATTTTCCACCTTCTAATCATAGCAACAACTTTGTAATTCCTCAGCCTGACTTGGTTAAAATCACTTATGTTTCAACTCCTATTCAACTCCCTAATGACCCATCTTCCTCCTCTAATCCCCCACCAGAATCGATTGTTTATCCACCATCTATTAAAAACTCTTCTTTACCTAACCTAAACTCACCGACAGAGGAAACCTCTTCTTCTGCTGGATTACGGGCCTCTCCCAGGATATTGCAAACCCCTAAATTACCTCTTTTAAATAAATTTGCTTCCATACAAGTTGATGAACAAACACCAGGTGACTCCCTGGAGACCAATTCTGAGGCGAACTCTGCCTCTTGTTCGAATGTAGATACTGATCCCATGGTTCCCAAAAAACATGAAATTCATGAAAACATTATTCACAATACTAGATCCTCATCCGATAAAGGAAAATCTCCCAACAACTCCAAACCCCCCAAAGGGAAATCGACCAAGAAGGCCAAATCTCAATCTTCATAATGTACTTCCCAACTTTTGCTAGTTGGAATGTTAGGGGTTTTAATAGCCCGGAAAAAGTTAGTTACTGTAAGTCTTTGATCAAAGCTCATGATCTTAAACTTTTATGCATCTTGGAAGCAAAAGTTTCTCCTTCGTCTGTGAATGATCCTTGGTTTTTGCGTTCTCATAGCCTTTATGAGAATGAGGGAAGCTGCAATAATTTTTTGGATTCTACACCTAGTAGAATTTGGATAAAATGGGATAAGTCGGTTTTCTCGTTTCAACAACTTTTCAGCTCTTCTCAACTAATTCATGGTGTGCTTTCGGTGGGTTCTTTCCCGCCTATTTTCCTTTTTGTGATTTATGCCGTTAACTCTGTGGAAGAATGGAAATTCCTTTGGGAACAACTTTTAAATATGACTCCTCCTTTGGATCAGCCTTGGATGCTCATGGGAGACTTTAACTGTTGTCGTTTTGAATCTGAAAAAGAGGGAGGTTCCTGTCTCACTAGTAGTAGATTGGGTGAGCTTAATAGCATGATTTTCAATTGTGGGGTGCAAGACCTTTCTTCCACGGGTCTGTTCTATACCTGGTTCAATCAACGATTGGATAACCCGTTTCACATTAAACTTGATAGAGTTCTTGTCAGCAATGCATTTCTGGATTTTCTGCCTATTGCTTACTACACTGTTGAACCTCCTCTTGGTTCAGATCATTCCCCGCTAATTTTTAAATCTTCTCAAGCTAAGCCTATATCTGCTAGGTTCATGTTCAAAAACTACTGGATTAACATGGAAGGATTCTGGGATGATGTTTTGACTGCTTTCTCTTCTAGATCTTCTAGAAGTCCTATGGCTGCTTTTTGTTATAGTTTAAATGGATTGAAGAGAGCTTTAAAAAATAGGAATTGGGCTTCTTCTTCGTTTCTTTCAAATGCCTTGTTGGAGATATAGAGTAAACAACATCAATGTCTTATTGAGATCCAAGCCCATCCTTTAGATTTGGTGCTTAACAATAATCTGAAGAATATAAATGATGAACTAGCCCCCTTGCAAGCTAAATGGAATTCTTGGATTACTCAAAGGGCAAAAGTTTTATGGCTCACCCATGGGGAAGATGATCTTGGATTTCTCTATGCCAAGTTTAGGAGTAGGAATAACAAGAACAGCATTAAAGAAATTACTACCTCTGAAGGGCATTTTACTAATTTCAAAGATATTTCTCATGCTATTGTTAAACACTTTGAGTCCTTGTTTAACAATGCACATTCTGATCTTGAATTACCATTGAATATACCTCCAGGAAACTTAGTCCCACCTAATTTTCTAGACATGTTGGTGGCTCCTTTATCTTTCTTGGAAGTGAAATCAGCTGTTTTTGATGGGAATGAAAACTCTGCACCTGGACCGGACGGGTATACCTATGCTTTTTACATAAAATCTTGGCATCTTCTTGGGTTACAAGTTTTTAATGTGGTAAATAATTTTTTCACTACTAGTTCCCTTCCTAGAGGTGTTAAGGATACAGCCATTGCTCTTATACCTAAATGCTCTCATGCTTCTAACATCAATGATTTTAGGCCTATATCGCTTTGTAATGTGTTATACAAAATTGTTGCTAAAATCATTGCAAACAGACTTAAAGTGGTGCTCCCTTTCATTGTACATGATAGTCAATCTGATTTCATTGCTGATAGATGCTCCACAGATAACATCATCCTTGCTTCTGAAATTCTTAGAGATTTCAAAGGTTCTCGTAAGAGTTTTTGTGCTAAGTTGGACATCAAAAAAGTTTTTGATTCTGTTTCTAGGGAATTCCTCATTGCCAGGTTGCTTCAGAAAGGTTTTCCGAAAGTTTTTGTTTCTTGGATAAGAGGATGTATCACTGATGTCCATTTTCTGTTTGCCTGAATGGTTCTCTTGAGGGTTTCTTTAAGTCCTCTTCTGGCCTACGACAAGGTTGCCCACTTTCACCTCTGTTATTTTGCATTGTTATAGATGGCTTATCAAATATTCTCACCACCAACTATGATACCTTTATCTTTAAAGGTATTAACTGCAAAGATACTCACATCAATCATTTGATGTATGCAGATGACCTTCTGGTGATTGGTTAATCTTCTAAAGATAATGCTCAACATCTCAATATATGCTTAAACCTTTTTGGCACTTTATCTGGGCTTCATCTTAATGCTAATAAAGTGCTATTATCTTCTCCAAAAATGATCAAGAAAATCAAATTATTTGTGATGAGCTTGGAATCTAAAATGTCAACACTTGCCTCACCTATTTGGGTCTCCCCATCTCTACTAAAAGACTCAATTCTTCTCACTTCCAACCACTACTGAGCAAAATTACTGCTCTACTTGATGGTTGGAAAAACAAGTTTCTTTCTTTTGCAGGTAGGGTACTTTTCCTCAAATTTACCATCACCAATACCATCGCTTACTGGATTAGAGGTTCAATAATACCTAAGGGTTGTTGTGCTAAGCTAAATAAACTCTGCTCTAGGTTTCTATTTAACAACAACTTGGTGGAGAAGAAATTACACCTCATTTCTTGGTCAAAAGTTACTCAGCCTAAAGTTGTTGGAGGGCTTGGTTTGCCTTCTCTTGACGCTCTTTACTTTGGTGTTCTCTGTTCCATAATAGGCAGATTTTACAACACTAAAAATCTCCTTAGCTGCTGGTATAAAGCTAAATACACTTCACCTTGGAAACCTCCTCCTTCCACTGCCTCCAATTTCTGGCTCAAAGTTACTCACACTGCTCACAGGATTAGGGAGAAAATCTCCTTCTCTGTGTCTAATTCCTGTGAATTATCTTTTTTGTGGGATCCATGGATTAATGGAAAAGTTTTCACTGAGACTTGTAGTTTGGATTTTTATGATATGCAAGTTAGTGATTTCATTTGTAATGGTATCTGGCAGCTTCCTGATTATATTCCTTCACCTGTTGCTGATTCCATTTTGGCGGTGAATTTTTCTGAATATAACGAGGTTCTCTGGAATGGCTCCCATAAATGGGTTTTTAGAAACTTTATTGAGCATTATTACTCTATTATTTCTAAGGTTGATTGGCACACCTCTATTTGGCATAAACATAATGTGCTTAAGTTTGCTAGTTTTACCAGGATGGCTGTGATTGGGAAGCTGAAAACTGCTGATAACTTAAATTTAAGAGGTATTCAGGTCTCTCTGAATTGTTCTTTATGCTCGGGTAATTTAGAAAATCATTCGCATTTATATTTTGAATGTGATTTTACTTATTACATTCTAAAGACCATTTTGTCGAATTCAATGGGTTTTTACTTAGGCCTAATTTACTTCAATTGCTGGATTTTTTTTAGAATTATGGTAGCTACTGTAGAACAGAAAAGGATTTTTGTTTCCTTAATATTAGCTGCACAGTTTATCATATCTGGAGGGAACGTAACAACCGCCGTTTCTCTTCTTCGAGAAACAATGTGATTAAAATCATCTGCAATATCAAAGAGGTTGTTAGATACAAACTTTCAAAATGGAAAAACAAAAGTCTTATACTGCAGAAATTCACGAAAATTTAATTTTCCATTGCCATTTTATTTTGGCTGTTCTGATATTTATTGTTGATGGTCACATTTGGAGGGAGGGTTTCTGCAATTCCTGTAATTGTTTTTTGGGTATACTTTTGGTTCCTCTTTTGCTTCAGACCTGGGAAGATGCTTTTTGGGATCTTGGTCATTTTGTCTTGGACCAATCCAGTAATTTTTGGTGGAAATACATCATATTATTTCTCGGGTATACTATAATGACAGCATATGGCATTGTGGGGGAAGCAGTACAAGCAGACGATGATGAGCAAGGCAAGTCCTCCCGAGCCAAGGATGGCCCGTGCGGCAACCAGGCTCGATCTTTTTCTGGTTCTTATATGCAGGCTGGAGGTGCTGTGATGGCCAATTTCTGATTTTCTTTGCTCCGACTGCTTCAGTTTATACTGGCAACCTATGCCACCGCCTGGGCATTATGTGATCTCCTCTGATTTTTGGATGATTATGACTTTGCCCGTTTTTTGAGTCATTAGTTCTTGTCTGCTCCTTTTGTCATTTGTTTTGTCTTTGTGTATATTTAGGTTTTTATGGTTTTAGTTCTTACCTTCTCAGGTTACTTGTAATTTGAACTTTGTTTTTTAATACATGAGCTTTTGCCCCGGGTTAACCAAAAAAAAAAAAACACACACTGCTGATTATTCTTGCCGAAGTCTTTTCGTTTGGAATATTGATGACAACCTTCTCATGGACAATTTTTTAAAATGATATCATTTAAAAGTTATTTTCGTCAAAATGAATTAAAAAATAATAAATTTAAAAATGATGTTAGTCGTTATCTTAGGAAACTACTGGCTATTGAATTGGCGGGTGAGCTGGCGGCAAGCTAATTTGGCGGACAAGCTAACGGGCTAATTTTGACACGCGAGCTGGCACGCTAAGTTGTCGAGCAGAGTTGGCAGACCACATCATGTCATTTGTTGTGCTAACTTATAGTTACGTTTTTAGTTTTATTTACTTTAAAGTATGATTTATAAATATTTTAATTTAATTTAAATTTAAATATATTCATAAAAAAATATAACATGTCAATCGTTTAGAGAGCAAAATTAATGATTTATTGAGCAGGTAAAACAGATTTTTAATGTCAGATACAACTGAAACTTAGCGATCATATATAACTGACCCATATTTGTAATCACACAGAATCAAATGGAACTATTCTTAGGTTCTAGAAGAGACTAACGACAATTTCCTGTTATAAATACTACTCTATGCCAAAACTATGATCAATTCTATATTCGACAATATTAGAGTATGGCAAGGACTTTTGATCACTGGTAGGAGGCAGATCATCACATCTTGCGTTTTAGTGCAGGTATACTAATTACGGAAAAGTGTTCGGAGGATTTTTTCTTGGCTACAGACATCATTCGAACGCCCACTTGGGTCAATGATAACCTGATTCAATAATGAGAAAGCTATATATATGGTTTAAGATTTACGCCAACATTTTTCTCAACAGAAGAGAGAATAGAAAAGTATTATCATGAAAGTATTGTGTGCTAAAATTTTAAATCGTAGTTTATGGATTACGAGGCCAACTAAAAAATAAAAAAACATTGATGCAATTCTTGAATAGTGCTTGAATTCTTACTTTTCTTTAATTCACTAATATATTCTAAGCAAGTTTTCACACAACACACACTCACTAGTAACTTATATCGAATAAAGAGAAAATTAAAAGTTCTCATATACAAGCAGAATAAAGTAGCCAAGGAGAGGATAATAGCAGACAATCCTATAAATAGATGTGTGGTCTGGATTTGTTAAGTAGGCAATGGATCAAGACCTTAATCTTCCCGGGTGCTTTCATATATGCTTGATTCTAGGTCATGATGTAAGTAGAGGAAACATTTCTATAAGATAAAGATGTAGCTTGAAGTCATATAGCGAATACACAATGAAAAATTATTTGATCTAAAATTAAGTGGAAGTATAACTTAGGATATAGCAACTCATACCTTGATTTATAATCTCTACTTTTTTTTACTTTTTAATTTTATTAGTTATAACTAGAGAATGTAAAGGAAGTTTAAAAAACCATATTCCATCTCATAAGAGCTACTTATGACATCGAACAAGTAAGCGTATACGTGGATATTTTGTTGACACGTTTTTTGACAAACACTCTCTGAACGACAGAGAGCAGAGAGAGAGAAAAAATACATTTTTGAGGCAGAATTTTACAAATTTTTTAATGCCCACTAGAAAGTATTCCTCCACAAGAAGCAGTAATAAAAATAGGCGCTCCAAACGAAAGCCTTAAATATGCTTGAGATAGACTGGCACAAAATCGCGAGCTTAACAAAATTAATTTGCTATCTGATTGTGAGTCACTGAGAAATGAAATGTATTAATTACGATAGCTACATATTAATCTTTTGGTTGGAAAAGCTTTAATTATCACTTAAGATATTTTGAATCGAGTCTAACTTATCTTAATGTGAGTGTGTTTTGAACATTTATTTTAATTGATCTAAATATAATTACAAATTGTATTAATTAATATTTTTGTTTATATTTCAATATATAAAAATAGAAAAAATTTCATTATTTTTCTTCAAAAATATGGTTAATTAAAAAAATGTATGTTCACATTGAAACATAATATCACGAACTGTTATGGGCTATGAATATAACAGGGGAAGAGTTAAAAAGAGGTTTCGTCTTCACATGATGGAGGTTTAACACGAAATATACAGTCACACAAATCTGACGAAGAAATGACCCTACCATATATTGTTTATGTGGTACGAAATTTGAAAAAAGGAAAAAATATATATATGACACGATAATACTCTGAGATCTAGTATTGAATGCTTCACAACTAATGTTATGAATGGATTTCACAAGCGACTGATCTGTCCTCTTAAAGTTGCAAACCGTGGTGATTAGAATACTAATATCCAACGCGGGTTATAATGCAATTGCGACGCCAGTGATTCAGAGAGAAATCTAGGCGAATGTTAATTACATGCAGATGGTAGGAATTCAAGTACATGGTTGAAAGTGAAAATGTTTAGGTAGGTCGAATATCAGCAGTCGGGGCAACAAGTATCGGCTCAGTTGGCGGTCGGTACAAATAGTCCGCGCGTCAGTTCTTGGGCATTGGGTTCGGAGTAGATAAGTACCTTACTAAAATCCGGCGTCCAATTGACTGTTAAGGCAGAGTCTGCTCATCGATTAACTGCTAGGTGGAAGTCCAACGATGATGAAGAAGGATACAGTGGCAAACAAGAGCTCTCTTCCTTCTTGTTATACTTGCGTTTATTTGATCTAACTATCCACGCTCCCATTTATTTTCAAATTTAAAGGCCAATAAATCCATTCAATTATAAGAGTAAATGAAAAGTAATGAAAATTCTCGTCTGTATGACGAAACAATTAAATGATCAAATAAGCGTGATGGACACAGTCGCCTCTTAAAGATCGCGCGACTAAGGGAATCTCGATCCCTTTTCCTGAAAAGGAACACATGCTTATGACGATGCCGTTTTCCTTCCTTTTTGAACGCTTTTCTTGCCATCCACATGCTTCGACAGTGTTTACCGCCACTTCGTCAAAACTTGCATACTGGAAAGCTTTCCGTCTCAGAGACGTTGAGGCGCATAGGCAGAAAATAGTGAAATTTCCCCACGGTTCTCTTCGATTATGTTTGATTTCGTGTTCCCGAGATCCCAAGTATCATGCCTTTCTTCAACGCACCTGTTCGCACAGACAACAGTGAGATAGGTTAGGAGAAATAGTATGCTTTCTAGTTATAGAGATTAAAGAAGAAGAGACGACTGTGTCTTCTGAGAAGCGTGGCTACCTGCCTCCTCAACTCACCCCGTGCTCCTGTTGACAATCGATCGATCAAGCTCCAGAAGATCGATAGCGTCACGTGCGCCTAGCCAAGCCTAAGCAGGATACTGAAGCCGCGCGGCTTTTCTCTCATCTTCTAAGTCCATAGTCACTCCGACAACCGGCGCATTTCCAGGCCGGAACTTATCTCCAATCCGCTCGAAAGACTCGCTACGACATGGACATCCTGCGAAGCTCTTAGCGAGATCTAGAAGGACAGCGAAGGCCTACTAGCAAAGCAAGTGACGAAACGCGAGATAACTCGGGTCCTCGATTCGTAGTTCCGTCTCAATTACGGCCGCCGCTCTCCTCCTCCTCTACTTGTGTCTCGGCTGCTTATTTATTCTACGTGATTGACGTGGAACTCCGACGGCTACTCTCTGGCATCGAATCCCTCATACCTTAATCACAAATACCCTTAGAGATGGTACACGAACATGACCAATATACGTGAAATGGGTTGGCCAGGATGACCCCCACGTTTTTCCTGCATCGCTTCACTCCATCTGTTACCATTAGGCTACGGGCGAGACATACGAACTCCAACTCACACGCCCGCTGACGCAAATTAGACCGAATCGTACGTGGATATTGTTTTGTCCCTCGCCCGTCGGCTCGGCATCCCTTCGATTGATGCTCCTAGGTTTCGTATCTCCTGGAGCTCCAGGGAGAGCCTAATTTTAACCGCTGGCAGCACTCGCGGGGTCGTTTGCCGGTAGCGTTCGAACGTTTTGGCCCGATAAGTGGTGGCGGATGAGGATTAGGAATAGGTGGGGATCGCGTTTCATCACGAGGGTATGGTTGTTTTGTGTGTTTGGAGGAAGCGGGGACCGTGCGCTGCACTGGGCTGAAGATTTGGTTGGATGAATAGTCGTTGTATTGGCGGGAGTAGTCGGTGACAACCGGTAGTGTTTATGGGAGATAGAGCGTTCGAAAACTTGAAAGGGAGGGGTTCTGCTTCCTCTGGCTCTGGTCTCCGACGCAGGCTGTGGCGAGGGCCTTCTTGTATTGGTGGAGGCCGGAATTGACGAGAGAACAACACCGAAGAAAATGCAAAGAGTTTGTGTTCAGAGAGACTTGAACGAGATGCGAGGATTTGGATTGCTGCTATCCGATCAGATATTGGAAGTCATCAGGTACGGGGGTTCTTGTTTTCTCTCTCTTTCTATTATTTATATAATTTGTATATATTCATCAAAAAATTATTCTTGAATCTGACACGAATCTCGAAAGCCAAATCAAGTTATAAATTGTTAAAAATTAAAATCAGGACCAATTGAACTCCAATTTCAACTAAACTATGTCGAGAGTTGAAATGTCTCAAAAATACGTTACCAACGACAACCAAATTCGACCCAATCCGAGCATCAAATGGATCTAATTCAATGACTCGAAGCATATTTGGAGGAGGTCAAACCATAGTTTATTTCGATTATGCCAAATATTTTTTCAAAATGTGACGTTGATCGATCAAGCTGTCTCGACGAGCGAATCAAACGAGCCCAATCGTCAAATTCTGATATCATTAGATTTTCAAATGTCTAGTAAATTGTCCATATGCTCAATTTTGGGAATGCAACAAGATCTATCGCATTACACCAGCATACCTAAAAAATTGTCCAGCAAACTCAAAGAAAACTAGAAAATAACATATCTCATTCTTATGAGATGAACCCAAGGAAAAGAAGAGTAAGGAAATACGTTCTCTTTGCCACCAGAACCTTCTCGATACTCTGAGAGTTCGGGACCTTTCTTAAAGACCGGCACCGAACTATCGTCGAACTTCCACCACAACAGACCGACGAATGACTTTCCGCGTCCATCAGCAGACTTTGCCCGTCACTTGGACTTTCGTCGGACTTCTACCTAATGTCCAACTTTTCGCCCGTTCGCGAACTTTTGCTCCATCGTTCGAAAGTTCTACTCTTGCATGACTTCCTACTGATAGGCCAGAGAAAGCAAAGAAATTCACACACTATATCAGATTTCCTTCCGTCGACGACTTCCTCCAGTTGTGCCAGATTTCCGAACCATGTCACTGGAATTTCGTCGGACTCTACCCGATCGCAAACTCCTCCCAATCGTCGAAGTCTTGTTATCGTCATATTCTATCCGCACTGGTACCTTCCGCCCAAAGTTGGACTTCCGCCCGTCGTAAGCTTATGCCAGTCTCCAGACTTTTGCGGACTTCCCCCAATCAGTTTGGGACACTTTAGGTGAAACCTTGCTATGCAAACATTTAGACCTTGCGTGAAGATTAAAACTTAGCAGCTTCTCCGACCACAGTGGACTCACAAGAAAAAGACGCTACTAATTACGAATCTGCTAACGAATTGAGGGATTCGGTCTAAAGGGCTAGTTATATGTTATGCAGAGGTTGTCTTTATTGGTGCTCAACTGCCTATTACCAGAACTTTCTTGTTAAGTGTTGAGGGTTGAGTTAGTAGGATAATTTTGTTTATTTAATTGATCTTTCACTTTTAAAGGAAATCTAACATAAAGAGCCAAGCATGCTGGGCTGCCACGAATTTGCATATAGACATGCTAACGTGAATCGTGCTCAAATAGGGAAAGGCCACCTTATTGGGACAGGATTTTTCCTTTTTCTCGGGCCTTGACTCTGCTCCCTATCAAGTCTTGTGTCTTATGAGAGGCTTTACCTCAACTAAAAAAGTAGTGGATTTCCAAACTTAATCTTGGTAGGGACTTGGCAGCTCCATCCTTATTGTTGGCCTCTAATTAAAGGTCAGTTGATAGTAATTCATTGGTTTTCTTCGCACTCATCGCAAGCACAAGTTGGAATCGAACGTCTGTTTGCGGAAGTGAAGTGTGTGGTTTCTGGTTCTAGGAAGGTAAATATTCTATTGAATACGAGGCTCCGGCAGTATGTGTGGCTTCTTTGCAAGCACTTGTAGTTTATTTTATAGTCATAATGTAGCTTTTTAGCAAATAATAAAGAAAGATCTTTTTTTAAGCTTCCAAAGTTCTTATCTATACGCCTCATTTGACCTTACTTTCTACCTAGTGAGGAATTTACCAATAGCAAATCCAAGTTCCACTATTATATAAACCACCTTGCATAATATGTTGTAATAGGTACGGCCTTCGAATATTTTAGTTTGACCGGAAAAGTTGACCTTAAAGGATACCTCATTTACTACTTGGGAGAGGAGAGAGGTTGGGAAGGTGAGAGTGGCTCTAACCTAAGAATTGGAACACAATCCATCAGTGCAGGTATGCGTAAGAGTTGAGAGAAGAAATTAAATTGAAGCTTTTCAGAGTCAAAAGAGGGATTTTCAGTAACCTCAAAAAAATATTTTGTGAAATAGATGAAAGTTGAATGCAGTTGGTTGGGTGGTCGGGGGATAGACTTGTGTTAGTCACCTCTAGCTCTTTATGGCAATTTGGAATGGAGAGATTTTAGGGATTATGAGGTGCAGTTAATCATATTAAGATGTGCTAAATAGGGAGACTACGAATTCTGAAGAGAGGCTCGAGGAATCGAAGGATGGTTTGAAAGAGGATAGTTAAGGTGTAATGTGACACATTAAGAGGAATATAGAAGCGAGTCCCGCTGCGACCGAGCAAGGGAGAGAAACATCCACAGAACTCCTATCCTAATGGGAGCCATCTCTAGCTTTCTCGATTTTGCTTCTGTTGCTGATTATGTTTAGTCCATTTGGCCACCAATCCTTTGTATATGCTACTTACAATTGTAAAGAGAAAAAAGTCGCATCTCCTTGTACACATAAAGCAAGTGTTGCTTATCACTCTCCCAATGTTTTCAGCATTGGATTTTTCAATTTGAATGCTTCCAAGAAATGAAAAGCCTTTGGCTACTATGTTGCATCTGTGCTCTTCTTCAAGTGGAGTAGACTACCAGCGAGTTAAAAGATATAGTAAGCTTTTGTTGTGAATGTTATCATCTTTTTCGTGCACAGTCTAGTTCATTATTTTTAAGCATTTTCTACTGAAATATAATTGACGTTACGGAAAATTTAGGCTACGAAAATACTGAGAAAGATTTATTGAGAAAATAGCACACAGACACGATGAAGCTTCTACGCTAATACCTCGTTTTATCTACCGAGCATATCCAGAGTTTGTTATATAATACAAATTTCGAGAGAGAGATGAGAATGATCGAAGAGAGAGATTATATTGCAGACTTCTGCAATCACTATCATTGCAAACGCTTGATCGTTTAAGAGTCAGGCAAAATTATACTCCAGATTGTATTAAGACTAGTTGATGGGAGTGCGACTGATAAAATAATTGATGTTGTGTGCTTTTGCGATTTTTTTATTTCCCAAACCCTACAGTGGAAAATTAATAGGTTCAATTGTACGGCTTTTTTACTATTTTTTTGTATCAGAGAATTTTGTAAAATAGTAAGTTTGTGCTTTCTCATTGTATATGTGCCCATCCCTAACATGGGATATTAATAAAGGGTTCATTTGGGGACCATTATAGGAGCTTCAAATTCATCACAGAATCCACTATCTAAAACTATATCTTTGTATTCAGTTTTGGATTCCGCCACTATATTCTATTTACCAAGGGTGCAAGAGCTCTTATCTTCTATGGATCAAAGTGTCCAATCCAAGATACCAATCTAAAAAACTAGATTCTTCTTCTTCCCCTAATGCACTATATTGAGTGATCAATTAATCTACAATAGATTATTAATATCTTCTAGGACAAATATTTGATCAGTGTCCTTAATGGTGCCTCTGAAAATACCTAAGTTAAAAACTCAGTTATGAAGCATATTTGAAAGAGCAATTGTCCTTTGAAGAGAGAGCAACCTAATAGTATGACCCTCGAGTTTAATCAACTACATCACAATGGAGGATTGTTTGATGAGGATGGTCAGATAGTTTAAAGTCTTACCTAATACAGATGTTCCTCTTGCATAACCCCATCTTAAGAACGCGAGGAGTTTTAATTCGCTTAATCTACCTATTCGGAATGAGCATTAATCATATATTTTTTAATGATTACAAATATTATTCGGATGTTATATCTTTTCTTATTTCTTAAGTTATATACTTGCATATTATTCTTGTGTGTCAACTAATCTTTTTTAAATACAACGATAGATCCTTGAAGAAAAGTAAAGATATCAACACACTCAAAATTAGTGTATATAAGCTATATAAGTCAGTTTGTGTTGACATTTGTACTTTTCATTTATATATTATTTTCTAGTATTAGTTGTATGAATTATGGAATCAGTGCACAAAAACTACTAAGCGAGGAATTAAAAAAGTTAATATTTAATTTTTTTTTACTGATTTCAATTCTCCTGTACAATCTCGTTTCATTCAGAATTTAATTCAAATATGTATTAATTAATTGCGAGAATATATAACATATAAATTGGGATATCATAGAATCATTATTAGTATAGTCTAATATCAGCACCATATCAATGGATTGATAATAAGTCTATTTTTAAAAAGTCCTTGCTAGAAATTCCTATGACTTAAATTAGACAAATTAAAATTTGAATTGATTGTACTGTACACTATTTTGTCGTAGCTGTAGAGAACGAATATTAATTATATAGGTACACATATAATTTAGTTAGGATGTATGAGACGAAGTAGAGAAATCAAATCAATTATTACATTGTTAATTGTTTGTAATTGAGTATACCAATTCAAACTGCGTCACATTATAATATTTGCTAAATTGAATGTTGTAAAGATTCGAATGACCAATGTAACTATTAATGAGCTATGCCACTCTAATAGGTTTGCTTTCTGAAATTAAAGGCTTAATAGGTAGAAATTAAAAATCTATTAATTGCAGAGTGTTGAGTGACTCGTACATTGAGCATTTATAAACTTTATTATTTCTTTAGGAACAAAGTTCTTCTCCTATCAGTCAATGTACTAGTTTTTTTTTTCATGCGGAAGAGAATACTTAGAGAGAATTTCAATGAGGGAGAAGAGAACGTCGAAGTTAGAGATTATGAGAGATGCGTGTGAATTGATGTCTACCATATGCTGATGGAGTTTAAGTGGGGTGAGGGCTCAAATTCGCAACACCAACACTAGTAAAATTAAAGAGTTCATTTTGGAAAAACTATGTTGTTTGAATTCATTAGTCCAAAACACGATTATCTCTTTTAAGTTCGATGTAATTAATTCAATATATCGGGTCTTCCTCAGTATGTCGTTTTTTGTGGAGCTCTGGAGAGGAGCGTCTAGAAAAAGTCTTAAGGTGTGAAACGACATTCTCTAGTTCTTTTAGTTAGAGAGGTCTCACGTCCATTGTAGTGAAGCAACTAACCATCTAATAATATCATGTATTATACATTAGTCAGGATAAGAGTAGGTAAATGGAGGAATTATAAACAGAATCAGTGTCCTCTCAATATTATAATTAAGAAAAGAAGTATCTGTTGATGCATGTGTCGACACTCTTCTCTATCAAACTGTGTTATTTAATCGAATGAAAGCTTTACTACATCATATCTCTAGTGGGTACTCTCAATTACTCTGTTTATATATCAAATAAAATCTGAAGCTATTGATTGACATATTGCGAGTGTTACAAGATCTGTGAATAGTGAGTCAAAACATGATAAACTTCCATCGGCCAAGAAGTAAGAGAGGAAACATTGGTCCGCGTGGGCTGACGAAAAAAAGAAGGATAGCTCTTCATTTGCTCATTAATTGTATTGAGTCAACCCACACAAAGACGATATGAGAGGAGATTTCTTTGGTAGTTAGCGGGCCATATATTGTTTGAGTTTCTAACACGTTATCATGTGTTTTGCATATATTATAAGAATTTGTAACTAGATGATATGTAGGGCTTGAATAAAAAGTCTATATATTTAGACCTATAGCCAGTATATGTATCTTTATATTGTTTTCTATAGATGTATTGTGCTAAAACAAATTATGTATATAATAGAGACAGATAAGATGAGAAACTTAATAAAATATGATTAATATTAGAGCTGCGAAAACATTTCGTTGTAGTTATAATGTTTTGTTACAGTCGTATGTGTATTAACTATATGATTCAATCTGGGATAAGACTCCAACTGAGATAGAGTAACCTTGTCTCTGTAGTCTTGTATTACTTATATATTTTGTAAAGACCTTCCTCATATATTTAATAAAATATATATAATTAAATCAATAAAAACTTGTTCTAGTAGCACTCGCTATTAAAGTCCTTATCTTATTACATTTGG